ATGATGTCCGGTATCCTCCTTTGACTGTGAATTTCCATAGATGCATTGGTTTAGGGCCTGGCCACTCCCATTCCGCCAGATCAAAGGGTAACTTAGCCACAGGAGTGAAGGTCTCATATGCATAGTATCCATTTTCCTGATCTCCCACCACCCTCACCTGCATCAGTCCCCCCCATGCGCCTGTGGTGTCCAGGTTGTCGTTTCTCACCAGTTTTGTAAGCGTGGCCCCAGGCAATTGGGGCTCGTAGGCTTCCAGATCGCAGATCCCATGGTTGTTGTTCTTAACTTTGAATATGACGAGGTGGGTCGGCGAATCCGAATATCTAACAACCCAGTCATCCTGACGGACCGTTGGTCCCTCCCTTAGAGTGAGATGCCAGGCAATGGGGAGGGCCTCTTTTAGTAGACAAGCCTTTTCTTCCACATTTTTGGCATACTTAAGTTTGCGCTGTAACTGGGTCGGGTCGCCCATTCCCAAGTCACTGGGTCCCACAGGTCACCAACCGTAAACACACCTTTCTTCGCCCAGGTCAGCCAGGGTGAGTTAGTGGTCAGGGGGAATGGCTGGCCTGATTCTTGCAGGATGTAAGGGTTGCCAAAGAGGGGTTGCCTCCATATGACTGCCACCTGTTCGGAGGGTGTTTTTGTTGGGGCCCCCTCCGTCTCCAAAGTTTAATCATGTAGGGGAACCGGGACAGTCCAATAGCTATTCGTCAGCCATTGAAATGGGTGGACCTTTCCCTGGGCCTCACTTCGAGGAGCGAGGTTGGTTAATTGCAGGCAGGCCAACGGTCTCCAAGGAATGTCGTTCCCTAAGAGCAAGCGGACCAGGACTTTAAATATGAGCGCCTCGGTCTGTCTTTCCGGGTCCAGGATTCCCAGTCCCCCTTCAGATCTAGGTTGTGTGAGCACATCCCACTTCACCCTGTAGATGCAGCCTTGAGCTTTAGCACTATTTTTCCATAGGTACGTCGTGAGGGCTTTCTTCAGCCTTGTGTGCTGCTGCTTAGTCAACGGCCAGACTGCCAGTTTGTACCAGCTGGCCGCCAGGATGGCATTATTAATTGCTAAAGCACGTCCCACCAGTGATGTGTGCAGGCCTTCCCAGTTGGCCAAGCGGTCAATGGCCATGTTAACCAGCATGTCCCTGTGGTCCGGCGGGGGGCCCAGTGCAGTTAGACGAACCCCAAGTATCCTAATGGCGTCCTCTTTGCGGGCCCAAGCAACACTCGGCTCGGGAGGGGGTGGTTGTCCTTGGGGGTGGAGCCACCAGCCCTCAGTTTTAGACCCCCAGTTAACCTTCATATCTGCTGCCAGCGAAAAAAGATGAATAACTTGGGTGAGTGCCTGAATGTTGTCGTTGTCGGCGCGTATTAGTACAGTAAGGTCATCCGCAAAGAGCGACGTCAGGGGTATGAGGTGATGTGGTAAGTCTGGAATAGGCACTTTGCTGATACCCGAATGCGCTCTGATCATTGCAGCCAAGGCCTCCATGACTATAACAAATAGCAGCGGCGCAATGGGGTCTCCCTGGCGCACCGATCTCTGGAGGTGAATCGGTGGCGAAAGATGACCATTCAACATTATGTTGGTTGTGGCTGATCTATGCAGGAGTTGTATCCATTGGCAGAAACTCGGACCAAAATTCATCTTCAGAAGGCACATATCGAGGAAGTCCCAATCGACATGGTCATATGCCTTTTCAAAATCTATGAAGAGGATTGCGGCCTGAGCCCTTCGTTGGCGGGCATATTTGATGGTCTCGTTGACCAACAGGATGTTATCCTAGATGTTCCGATTGGGCATAAACCTTGTTTGGTCCGGGTGAATCAGCATATTCATGAATGGCAGCAATTTGTTAGTTAGGACTTTAGCCACCATCTTGTAGGGGATCGGAAGAAGGGTAATGGGCGTATAATTTCTAATATTGTCCTTGTCTCCTTTCTTATATAACAGGGTAGTCACCCCCTGCCCAATCATTCCCCCAAAGGACCCCTCTTTTTGCACCGCGTCTATGTACTCCATAAGATCCACTCTGATCAGGTCCCAGAATCCTACCCAAAACTCCTTCAGGAAGGAGTCGATCCCCGGCGTTTTCTCGTCCTCCATATCTTGTAAGGCGTATCGTGGGGGCAATGGGAATTGAACCCACGACCTCCTGAGTGTCGCTTGAACGACTTTTTTTTTTTTTTTTTTTTTTTTTTTTTTTTTTTTTTTTTACAACACAACCCCCTCCAGTGCTAGCGTTGCTGTTTAAGGCAGACGACCCTAGCACCTGGGGAGAGGCTCCATCTATTGGTGGGGAGCAGCACCTGCTGGAAACCGGGTCCAGCGTCCCATTGCAGTTGATACACTTTGATACAGTATGGTACATGAGCAGTGGACGAACATTAGAAAGTATCTGCCAGCATTGATTGCTCTGGTGACCAAAGGATTAACTGAGCAGGGATAGGAGTGACTTGAACCGTGAGTCTGGCCCGGGATCCGAGAGGAGCCACTGGGGGGCACCAGTAGGTTCTCCTTCCATTTCCACCTGCGGGGCCTCTATTCTAATGAAAAAGCAACAGCGGTGCATCCCGACTCTCGGAGCAAGCACAAATTTTAGCACAAATTGTAGGCCAACCAAAGCCTTAAGACAAGAAGCGAGGCAAAACCCAGACTTTAAGACGAGCTTTAAGACAAAGAGCAAGGAGCAAAGAGCCTAGGGAGCCCGCAGACTACAACATGCGAGACTCAGTCTGACCAGCTTACTTCTAGGGACAGTGGGTGGGGCGGGAATGGGTCCGGAAAGTCTTCTGCTGGCCTCAGGGAAATACTGCAATCGATGTTCAGCCAGTCTTTAAACTGTAGGCGGTAGTCCCGGGGCGGTGTTAACCCCTCATCCTTAATTCCCTCCCCTGACCAATACACCTTTGCTACCCATCCTTCTCGATCCCCTCCCAGTCATTCCTTGGAGAATTGTGTTATCCTATCCTTTATATCTTTCGCCTTGTGGAGGGTGTCAAGAGTGAGTTTGACCGACTTCCAGCGAAAGTCCAGCTCCATCTGTATGTGATTTTTAAACTGTTCTCTCCTCTCCTCGCCTTCAACACGGACTCGGTCAAAAACGAAAGCGCATCGCTGCCACCATAAAACCTATAGGATTGTTCTTCTGCCCAGCTGGAACATGTTCCAGGCGAAGGTGTCATCTTGGAGAGGCGAGCAGTGGCCCAAGAGGACAGTCCACCAATCCCACGGCCATTGGTGACCTGGAACAATCTGTCGCCACACTCTATCCCACCACCTCCAAGTTAGAACAGTTGTCGGGCACTGCAGAAAAATATGTTCTATTGTTTCCGCTCGCCGCTTCGGGGGGAAGGTCGTCATGCAACGTGAGCACCACGGTAGGGCCCGGCCCTGTTGTTCCAGCTGGGTGTGATCTATCAGCCAATCATTTGTTGGCAGGCAGCGATGCAGGATCTGCCACTGAAGTGATGTGATTTTTGCCGGTTTGTACTTAGTGTCTTTGAACCACCGAATTGGTGCAAGGAGTTGTCGGTCCACGTTGAGGTGTCTCTGCCATCTATCCATCACGACTTCTTTTAGGCGGCGTTTGGTTCTGATTTTCCTGTAAGTTGCTTTCACAGAAAGGTCCGCCAAGGTGGTGGAGGAGGATTACCCTGGTGTGTGACGCTCCTTATGAGACCAGATCCATTCCTGCAGATCCAGAGGCAGGTCTTGTATGGCTAGCTCCGGCATAAATGCCCTCTGGTTCTCTCCTTCGCCAACGATCCTCACTCTATACAGAGTCACTTTGGACTCCCATTGGAAAGGATCCCGGCTCCCTACTAGTAGTCCGTTCTCCTTTACCTGAAACCACTCTACCAGCACCTCCTCTGGTCGGACTTGATGCACATAGCCAACCTTAACCCGTTCCCAGTCCCTAGAGACCCAGTCCTCTTCCTGCAGTTGTGGCCCTCTGCGTAGGATAATCCGCCACTCCACTGGGAGGGTTTCGGTGATCTCCTCGAGCGCGGTGTCAACCTTTGACAATATCTCAGACGCTCCCTCATCGCCCCCGGGATTCTCCAGTCATTTTCTTCTGCGTCCCATAGGTCTCCCACTCGTGTTATCCCATTCTTCACCCATCCTTTCCACGGGGGGTCAGAGCTGCAATAGATCTGACTCTCACCATTGGTAATCCAGCGATTTCCAAAGAGGGGCTGCCATGCTACCTCCTCCCACCTACTCGGGGGTGGGCGGGACGGGGAGGGGAGTCTTCTCCATGTCTTCAACAGTCGAGGCCAGAAATCATCCCCCTTTCTCTCTCCCCCTCGGGGGTAACGCGGTACCCGCCAATATCGGTCATCCAACCACTGAAGCGGGTGGACTGTGGGGGGGGCCTCTGGGGCCAAGCGAGCTAGCTGATGAAGGGCGAGGGGTCTCCACGTCAGCGGGCTCATGAAGATAAGCCTCACGATCCATTGCAAGCTGAGGGCCTGCATCTGAGTGAGGGGGTCTAATATGCCAAGCCCCCCTTGTGTTTTGGGTTGGATAACCGAGTCTCACGCAACCCGGCTAATGGCGTGGGGGGTTTCGCTATCCCCTCTCCAAGGGTACGCTGCCACCTTTCTTTTCAAGGACTTGAGGGCCCCTTCGCTTAGTGGCCAGAGAACAGCCTTGTACCATAGAGATGTCAGGACCGCGTTATTAATGATTAGTGCCCGTCCGAAAAGTGACGTACTCCTGTGGTTCCATTGAAGGAGCTTAGCAAGGGCCGAGGCTGAGACCCATTCATCGTTCTCTGGGGGTCTTCCTTCAGCAGACATCTTGACCCCTAGTACCCGGATTGGGGTCTCCCGGGGTACCCATGTAACCTGCTGCCTTTCAGGACGGCGGCCCCCTTGGTGGAGCCACCAGCCCAGCGTTTTTTTACCCCAATTGACAGCCATGTCAGAGAGGGTACAGAAGCGGTCCATTAGTTTCTGAATTTCCTCAATGTTTTTTAATGTGGCCGCGACCATGATTGTCAGGTCATCTGCGAACAAAGAGCACACCAGGATTGCATCCTCTGGGATGCCCGCGATCCTAATCTTCTCCAGATCCCTGCTATGCCGAAGATTGGCAGCCAATGCTTCCATTACGATAATGAAGAGGAAAGGGGCGATAGGGTCGCCCTGTCTCACAAAGCGCTGCAGCTTTATTTCCGAGGTCAGGGACCCGTTAATCTGCACCCTCATAGTTGCGTCCCGGTGTAAGATGTTTATCCACCGTCGAAAAGCCATGCCGAAGTTCATGCGTTCCAAGCATCTATCTAGGAATAGCCAGTCCACATGGTCATATGCTTTTTCAAAGTCGATGAAGATGAAAGCAGCATTGCTCCTGGATTGCTGTGCCAAGCTGATCATCTGATTAATCAACAGTATGTTTTCCTGGATATTCCTATTACGGAGAAAACCGGTCTGGGCCGGGTGGATAAGACCCTCAATCACGTCGATTAATCTGTTCGCCAATGCCTTAGACAGCATCTTGTAGACCACTGTCAGCAGAGTGATCGGTCGGTAGTTACGTATGTTCATTTTGTCACTTTTTTTGTGAATCAAGGAAAGCACCCCTTGCCCTGCCAATTCCCCCAGATCCCCCGACTCCCAGACCTCATTATAGAATGACATCAGATCGTCGCTAAGGAGGGGCCACATGGTTTCCCAAAATTCTTTTGGGAACCCATCTAGGCCCGGAGTTTTCTCCTCATCCATTTGCATGAGTGTCGTCCAGATTTCGTCCTTAGTGATGCGGCAGTCTAGTTTGTCCTTCTGCGAGGGGGAGAGGTGGTTTTCTATTGGGCACAAGAAGTCGTCAATCTCTAGCCGACGGTCGGCCTCTGGCTGTGGAGGAGCGTGAGAGGCGAACAGGTCCTGATAGAAGGATCTTGCGATCCTTATGCTATGGGCTGTGGTTGTGGCCAGTTCATTAGTCGCGGGGTCTGTAAGAGCCTCGATCGTGGTGCGGTGTGCTCTCATTGAAGCCATGCTAAAGAACTGTGAGTCCATGGTGCCTTCGGTGGTCCATTGTTTTAACTTGCCTCGGATTCTGATTCCTTGCTATCTGTGTGTTGTCCCGCAGTCCTTGTATCGTCAAGGTATGGTCGCACGAGTTGTCGTGGTTTACCAGGCTGTGGAGTTGTCTGTGGATGTCCCTTTCTTGTGCATTTCGCCTAGCCGCTACAAGTTTTGAGTAGTCCTTACATTTCTTTGCTAAAAAGAACAGTCCGTTAGTGAACCATCTTACCTTGGAATCAAAAAGCGGTCCTTGGTACTGCACCGCATGAACAGTGGTCCAGCCCAGGGTGAGGGCTCAGTGGCAAAATTATTGTGCGCTGGAAAGCATTTTTTATTTCTTTTGATATTAAAATTAAGTCTATACGTGATTTTGAATGACTTGTCGGGTCATTGGTGCGAAAGCACGTATAGGCTCTCTCCGTCGGGTGCAGATACCGATGTGCATCCACCAAACTGAGTGTGCCACAGAGGCCCGCTATTAGTTTTTCATCCTCCTCTATGTACGGCGGGCAGGGGGATTGGGTTTTCCACCTATCTATCCATCTGTCCGGTGTCGCATTGAAGTCTCCGGCGATCACTAGCGGGACACCCTGTGGTACTAAAGTTGTGAGGTGTGTTACCAACTGAGCGGATCCAAGTCTGACGTGAGCCCTCTCGCCTGCCCCATTTTCAAAAAATAATAATAAGAATATCAAATATTCTTAAGTATTTACTAGAAAAATACATATATTCATGCACACTTCTTAGCGAGCAAGGTGCAGGTTTTGTACGTGGCTAAGCAAGATACGGATCCAAGTCCGACATGGGGGAGGAGGGTGTGGGAGCCAACCCCCGCTGAAACTTAAAAAAAATATATATATATCGTCACAAACAGAACTGCCCGGTAAACCGTAGGCAGAGAGAAAGAAGAGGACAACAAACGAGGGGCTGTGACAGATATATATACCTCCTAATGAGTCGGTGAAACTCCGACGAAACAGTTTGTCACAGCCCCTCGTTTGTTGTCCTCTTCTCCCTCTCTGCCTACGGTTTACCGGGCAGTTCTATTTGACGATATATATATATATATATATTCTTAACTGTTTATTAGAAAAAGTAAAATCCATGCGCACTTCTTAGCAGCCTTGGCGCAGGTTTTATGTCTAGTGGAGAAACATATCGTTCCAAGTCCGGCGTGGGGGAGGGAGGGGGTGCACCCCCTTCCCAACTTGAACAAAAAAAAGAAAGTTTTCTTCTTAACGCAAAAAGTCCATTTAATATACATGTATATTTTTTATGGATGTGCAGTACGTTTAGGTTGGGGTTTGTGTCTATTGAAGCAAGATATGGATCCAAGTCCGACAGCCGCCCCCCCCCCCCCCCCCTCCCCCCTCTCTGTAACTTGAAAAATAAGAAGTCCATTCAAGTCTGTCTGACTACTTACTTCATCGCGTCAGTGGTTGTGACTACTTTCCTCAAACGCGTCAGTAGTTTGTTATGCGGGCCTAGCCCGCACCGCCAGCACCACAGGCGCTAAGCTAGTATATATCTATATAAAGAACACAGTTGTCTTCTCCTCATATATGGGGGACAAGCTGTATTTACTACCCTATTTTCGTCTCTCAATCTCATATCTACCTCACACTAGCTACCTACCTACCCTTAGCTAGGATGGAGATTTCCCTTTTATCTTCTGCACTAGTCCAATGGGAACCAAGCTATTCTATGGGTTACGGGAAGCTATTCTAAGGGTTACGGGTTGCAGACTAAGTACCTACGGGACACTTTCCTCCCTGACCTCCCAGCCTACCTATCCTCTCGAGGTTGAGCCCTCTCGGTTGAGCCTATCCCCTCAGGGTTGAATCTACCCCCTAGTGCGGGTGCACAGTCCTACTACTGTCTCTTATACACATCTAGATGTGTATAAGAGACAGAGTCCAATGGGAACCAAGCTATTCTATGGGTTACGGGAAGCTATTCTAAGGGTTACGGGTTGCAGACTAAGTACCTACGGGACACTTTCCTCCCTGACCTCCCAGCCTACCTATCCTCTCGAGGTTGAGCCCTCTCGGTTGAGCCTATCCCCTCAGGGTTGAATCTACCCCCTAGTGCGGGTGCACAGTCCTACTAGGGTCGGCGAACTGTCTATCTCAGGTGATGAGCCCAAAGTGCGAAGTGGCCATGGGGAACCACATGGACGCCATGGTAAGCACTTACGCGCTCACATCATTCCTAGTTGGTGTGAATCTTGCTTTTGAATTCTGCTTTCAACTTGGGCTCAATGATGTCTGGTCTTTTGTGAGAAGTCGCAACTTGGTTTATTGTTGTTCGCATCGCTTATTTCCTTGCAATTTGGTATCATAGTTGTGCCAGCTCTTGGCACTTGGTTTACGCGCATTTGGTTGGTGCGGTGCTTGCGGGTTGTGCAAACAGTGTGATAACGTACGTGTTGGGTTCCTGGTCATGCAAGAGGTGGAACATGCATGGCCGGAAGGCTAATGAAAGGGGTACATCATCCATGTTGAGAGTGAGCTGAGAACCGTGTTGTGCCGAGGTACTAACCAGCGAAAGACTTGTATTCACCTGTGCTGCAGGTGACCGAGGTCCCCTTTCTTGTCTTCAGCTGTGCTGCAGGTGACCGAGGTCCCCTGAAGGGGGTTCCAACTTCGGAGCCAAAGGTTAGGCCCCAAGTGAATCTCTCCTCTCGCAGGACCTCCTGGCCTCCGCCCCTCAAGAAGAAGACTCTCCTCTACTCCAGCGCAGCTACTCCAGCTCTGCTCTCCTTCAGTGCAGCTACTCCAGCGTTGCTCCTGCAGAATGGCCACATGAGTCCCAACCGCATGACTCCCAGAATGCTGTGCCTAGAATGGAGGCTGGCCCCGGTGTATATAACGCTGTACAGCCTGTACCTACTCGGCCTGTGTCCTGGGCCCATCCAATTGTACCACCAATCAACCCTCCAGGATGCAGGCCCAAGTCCTGGTCCTGCCTAAAAACATCCTACCTACCTGGGTCCCAACCAGACATCCAGGCTCCTCTACTGTATCAGCAAAGTCGTCCTCACAATGTAGAAACAAGGAGCCGGACAAAAATGTGGTTCATCCCCAAACTGATTGCACCAGGCCTGAAAAACGGCCATTGGGCCTGAATCAGGCCCGCCAACTGGTCCAGCCATTCTCATACTCCTTTCAGGCAACTAAGTGAACGACACTCCCGGTCTGGACAAACCGTGAAACGGCACATCCACACCAGACAAACTCAGGAAGATGATATCGTTGAGTATTCAGTTGTTCAGAGCTTTGATCATAAGCGGAACTGGCTGAGGCTGCCAGGATAACTCCAGGTCGAATTGCGAGGTCCCGCGCCTCGTCCTATTGGTTTTGCAATATATATTCAAACCTTCCCCCCCCACAAAAAAAAAAAAAGACTCAGGGACAGACAAAAATGAACGCAAAACAGACAGACGTACTGAGAACAGCCAAAAATGAACACTCAGAAACTCCAGACAGCCCAGAACAAGGAAAGGAACACATCCCCAGACTCACACTCCACAAACGCTCCCTGGCCGCTGAGTGAACCAATATCGGGCCCTGAAGGGGCCAGTGTGTGAGCCATGCATATACCAGTCTTGAGAAATACTTACAGCAAGCAGTCAAACAGTGCTCGTGGGAGGTTTCATTCTCAGATAGGTGTTGCGCACGAGGTTGCACAAAAATGGAACGAAAAGCTTGTCGAGGACATGGATCTTCTGATGAAGCGCACACCCTACAAACAATCAGGCACACAACCCTTCGCTCATCACCAAGTGTAGGTGACCATCTTCTAGCCAGAGCTGATGAGCATGGCCTTCGAGAAAACATAGTCTCCAAGTCTCATTAATGTTCCCAAAGACAGATGTTTTTGCCCACCTCTGGGACCAGGTTCTCATTTATTTTCCCAAAGACAGATGTTTTGCCCACCTCTGGGACCAGGTCCATCTATATCAACGTTGGGCTTCCTCAATGCTGCGTTTTCAATCACGTGCAGCACGTGGGACCTAGCCCTGCCCTAGATAGCCTCGATATTGACAGGTAAGATTTACAGCACAAATGCGGGCCCCAGCCCTGCCATCGATATCCTCGAACTGCCGTAGATATCCTCGAAATTGACAGGCAAGATTTTTACATAAAGTTCCAAGAGTTCATCTTCTTTGATTCTTTGTTTTGGGCTTGAATTCGTTTCTCCCATCAAGTTCTGGCTTTCTTCATTTTGGCAGAAAAGAATGGCTTCTCCGTCGAGGTTTCTGGCCTGTGGCGGGAATGGCTTTCTCAGTTGAGGTTTCTGCCCTGCTGGAAGCCTCGACGGGAGGAAGCCATATTTCTTCTCTATCTGGAAACTCGAATGAGGGGATCGCACAGCGTGAGCCATCATCATTATCTCCTGAATGGAGGACAGTCTGACAGAGCGCAGTTTTGGCTCTCCGTCATCTAACTCCTGTTTTCCTTCCTTAGGGCAGTGAATGCACAACCGACCACAAACCTAGCCACGCAGGTTGTCCAAATTCGTTTCACAGAAGGTGCAGGTGCGCATTCACAATAGCCCGGATGGATACTAGTCGTTTGAGTTTGCAGACTTTTTAAGCGAGTCTATTGACCAGCGAAGATACAAAAGCAGGTTCTCCCATGTTTTCCATATTGACTTGCCGGGGGAATAGGAACCGGACTGTCGTTCCCCAGAATGGTAGGAGCCAGAACCAAGAGGTTCTGTTCAAAAAAAAAAAAAAAAAAAAAAGCAGGTTGGGGTGCCAGCCACCGTTGAAGTGAACACTGGGATGACCTTGGACATGGGACGGCAAGCTTAATTTGAGCGCGTGGGTGCAGTCTACACACTCGGACGACCTTGGACATGGGAGGGCACGCTACTCTGAGCTCGTGGGTGCAGTCTACACGCTCAGTCTACAGTGAGTGTGTGTTCATATACGAGTTTTAAGGTCTGCTAGGTAACTCGGCCAAACTCTGTTAAATTCTATGGATCCAAGTTTTCGCTTTCTTCCACTGCACAACAAAGCGATCACTGCAGAAATTCATAGTCATGTGGCTTAACTTCTGTCAAAACTTTGCTCAGAGTTGCTGGTTGCGGTATGCCAAGCGTCGAAGCTATCACTGAGAAATCATAAGGGATGTGGGGGAACACAGCGACAGCGAGCATGTGTGTCCCCACAGCTACAGCGAGCATGTGTATGTGTTTAGTGCCGCCAGGTATTTGCGAAGTAATACCAACCATAGCAAGCCAGATAGCAGATTCTACAGCGGCTACAGTTACTACCGAGTGAAGAAGATAATTGGCCCATCGTGTCATCTATATACTAAAAGGTTCGCATCGACAGCAAGCATATACTCAACAGTTCAAATCCACTGCAAGTAAAATGAACTCATGCTGGACTATGGCAGACTGTTTAATTGACTGTCACAGTTCCTCAGGAGCTTGGTCTGTCAACATACGTGTTGAGTGATGTACTCGGACAAAAGCCATCTTGTAGGCATTCATCTTGAGAGGTCGGTGCAGACACACTGCATCAGCGTAGCAAGTACAAGAATTTTTTTCACGGAATCCGAAAAGTCTTGTACCTTCTTCTTTCTTCGTTCTACTTTTCAGTTGCCACATCCGGTAGCTTCGTCTTCCTACTTCGTTCTCCTTTTCAGTTGCCAGGTTCGGTGCTTTGTTATTTGTGACGTCATTCATTAAATCCCTCGTGGGAAGAACAGGCCTTCCCCAATGGGTACAGTAAGGGGGTTTCTCCACCTCGAGGTCCGGCAACTTTAATATGCCCTGCCATTCATAACTAGGCTAGAATTCTACGCACTTAACAGTGCCATGTCAGAGAGAGAGAGAGAGGGCCTGGAGCAGTTGCCCTCTCCACCCTTCCCCTCCCCTCTCTCCCTCGGAAATGGAAAAAAAGGGCCGTTACAGTTTGCTTCACGCAGTTAGCCAACGAGTATCCCCTCCCTGTAACTGTCCATGTGTCCATGCTCGTCTTCACCGTGCCGAATAACTGTGTTGACCGTAACGAACAACTACCGATCTACTCTATACATTGACCTTGTTCAACAACACTGGACCTGTGCGACAACTGTGCGTACCTGTGTCCCCAACAACTGTGTGAAAGGTTATTAGTGGTATAGACAAGCCCTTTGCTACGGTCTACGGACGCGAAGGGCCCATAGATATCGTGATAAGAGTCCACTTCTCCACGAACACCCAGCCTACTACTGGCGCTGGTGGCATATGCTTCTAGCAAGCAGAGCGCGAACAAAACACCAGCAAGCGTGCGACACTCATGGAAGCGCAACTAAAACTCTTCGGCACAATTGAGTCAATGAGCCAGCCATTCGGGACAGTGGTTCGGTGTTGAAGATTTTGAACACGACAGTACGTACGTTGTGCTCAACAGAAAAAAATCGACGGGATTTAAGAGATCGGGACACCTGCCAAATTCCTTCGGACTCCGCTCAGTAACTTACATCCCGGGATCTATAGAGCGTGTTTGGGCGCGGAATTATATGCCCATGAGCCACATCCCACATTTCAAACGCGTCTAGATCGTCGTGTGTTTCACACAAAACAATTGTCATTTCCATCCTGCCGACTACGTGATCCTGCCTGCGTTATTCCTGTCTCACCACAGCATTTCATTCTCACAAGGCCTATAATTGCTTTCACCTCCGTTAGCATCCATCCGCTCTACCTAGTCGTCTAACTCTAAACCTGCAACTCAACTCAACTACCACATCAACAAGATCCGCTGATCTCAACAAGGATGCATAGTACCTAATGAATCCAAAGGACTACGATACGCATACTCACGATCTTGCATTCCGTACGAATAATCAAAACATGTTTGGGCATGGCACAGCCGTACGACTCTTAACTCGACGGGATATAAAACACAGACGAGCCGCAAGAGGCTGATCATCATCCATCACAAACCTACAACATAGCATCACCCCACAGCTTCCCTTCGACTAGCGGGACATTTTCCTACACTTTGCGTATTACGCCCGTCGCCTCCTCCAAAGGCTCCCGTAACTTCCATAACACCGCCAACATACCCGCGAAAAGCAACGGTAAAACATACCCGGGGGCAAGGTCCTACTTGCACGGATTACGAGAACCTGACCGTCGATCTTTGCTATCGACGGTCAACATCGCTTAATTCGTGTAAATGGGACCTCGCCCCCGAATAACAACGGCACAAAAGTTACCCGTTACCAGGGGCGAAAACCTCCGGATGACCTCGAGGAGCCGAAAAGACAAGCGCGCACTGTGCTGTAGGGCTTACGCCGTTCAATTATTCCTTCATTTAGACCCATCATCCATTCGCACCACACTAAGATTTCATCAAAGCACCGCTGACGCTACAATCTTGTCAAGTCTCTATTTGCAGCCTGCCTTGTGGCCAAAGCTGCTGTGCTGCACGGTCCATTGATCCAGGTGCTGCGCACCTCCCGCGTCACCATACAGTCGCAACACACTAGGATTACCCCAACACCGCTTACGCTACGACCTTGCAAACGCTCTCTTCGGACTTCTTGGTTAGCTGTAATGCACGGGCCCATTGACCCAAGAACACCTACCTATAGGAAAACTGTATAGACCTTTTCCCCTCACGAGCTTCAGAGAATAACTCTGCTCCTCGTCATAGATAGGCAGCCTTCCGCTCGACAGCAACGTGAACGCGCATGTTTCGAAAACCTTAAAGACCTAAACAATCAAACCTAACATCGTTTAACTCGCCTATCGGTGCACCACTACGCAGAAAGTACTGTGTCGAAACCTAGGCAACCCAGAAAGAGTCGAGAAGAGAACAACTAAACACTGCAGCGCTTTTAACGCAACGTATACTCGAAACCAACGACTTCAGACCGATTCCGAAGCCGGCCACAGGAAAACTATACACTGTCGATCGAAACCAACGACTTCAGACCGCTTCCGCAGCCGGCCACAGGAAATCTATACACTGTCGATCAAAGAGTTCAACTCAGGGACAGCCGTCGATTTCGAAATCGGAACGTGCCAATGTCTACTCTATACCGTTCGCTTTCGAACTACACCGATTGCTGCACGACTGACGCAGTAGTCTACACGTTATGGTCAAAAAACCTTAGCCAATCGTATAAAAATGAACACGGCGCAGCTCGTATCCAATTGGGTTAACATTCATCAACGTGAATCGACGCAACTAATTCAAGCCGCAGTATGCATTGTACATTATTCAGCACCTCGTTGTTGTTCAAGTCCCCATATTTGAAGGCCGACATGCAAAGCATTGAAAGCCAACGCAAAACAACAATACCAACAACAACAACAACAACAAGCACGCAAACGAAAGTGCAGCAATGAAAATACACTGAAAGATCCAATTTAATTGATAGCCGCAACTCGTTCACATCCAAATCATTCAAGCAGTAATTTCATCAGTAAACCCCCCAACCAACCCAGTTCGCTCCACAACAAAATCGCCGTAGCATCAAGTCGTTGAAACATTAATTGACCCGTTTAGTCCTCAACCAAATTCCCCCCGAAACAAAACCGCCACAACATCAAGCACGCTGAGATCATTTTACACTCAAAATGTCACTAACATCGACCAGCGAACCATGAGGTAACCGACAGAGCCGACACACTGTAAACATTACTCGCACGCAGCTTAAAACCGCCGCCTTACGAAGCCGTCTCAAAAGACACTACCGCACCCACCACACTATATCACAGTCACTGACCGTCCTCAACTACCTCGCTACTTCGCCATACCTATAATTCAGATGAGGCAGGACAACAAGCGCAAAAAGGTAGCGAGAACAAGGCCACTAAATAATGCAAGTCATTGCAACCCCCGCCGCCCGAACTCACGCCACCACCGTCACCAACACAAGAGTCACCTACGGGATTCAGAATGGACCCTCTCCACTTCAACGGCAGAATACGCCAGCCAAGCGAAAGCAAGCCCGTGAACACTCAGCTGCTGCATGAATACCAGAGGAGAATTATTCGGCCGCATGCAAGAATAAAACCCTAGCCTACCGTCCCCGTCCCCATCTGAACTCTACGCTCAAGTGGGCTCTCTCACGTACACAAGGCAATCCCTGACAATCGAAGACAAAGAGGAAAGCTCCGCACGAGAGACCACGCATAGCAAAAAATTAGCACCTAACGATTACCAAAAAGACATATGAGATCTTAGTCAACCTCCTCCATCCGGCTGCCCTCCTCGGCGGCGGCTTCATCCTCCAGAGGTGGCATGTCCTCGTCCTCGCCAGCGGCATCCTCGTCGATGCTCAAGCCAAGCTTAATCATTCTGTGAATTCTGCTGGCAAACATGTTGGGATCGTCAAGGCTGAAACCCGAAGTCAGAAGCGCCGTCTCGAACAACAACATCACCAGATCCTTAACAGTCTTGTCGCTTCTATCAGCATCCGCCCTCTTCTTCAACTCCTTCATTATCGCATTCTCTGGGTTCACCTCCATGGTCTTCTTGCTAGTCATGTAGCTGGACATACTGCTGTCACGCAGAGCCTGCGCCCTCATGATACGTTCCATGTTCGCAGTCCAGCCGTACTCACCTGTCACAAGACAGCATGGCGAGTCCACAATACGGTCCGAGACGACGACCTTCTCAACCTTATCACCGAGGATCTCCTTCATCAACTTGCACAGGCTTTCAAACTCCTTTTTGATCTCCTCTTTCTTCTTCTTATCCTCCTCGGTGTCGTCAAGCTTCAGACCCTCCTTAGTCGCAGAGACGAGCTTCTTCCCGTCGTACTCCTTGAGCTGTCCAACAGCGTACTCATCGATGGGGTCCACCATGAACAACACTTCATAACCCCTCCTCTTCAGCTTCTCAAGGAACGGCGAGTTCTCCACCGCCTTCTTGCTCTCGCCAGTGATGTAGTAAATGTCCTTCTGGCCATCCTTCATGCGGGTTACGTAGTCCTTCAAACTCGTCATATCGTCGCCCGACTTGGTGGAGTGATACCTCAGAAGCTCGGACAACTTGGCGCGATTTGCACTGTCCTCGTGAATACCCAGCTTCAAGTTCTTGGAGAACGCCTCGTAGAACTTGGCGTAGTCCTCCTTGTTCTCGGAAACCTCCGTGAACATCTCGATACATTTCTTGACCAGGTTCTTGCGGATGACCTTGAGAATCTTGTTCTGCTGAAGCATCTCGCGAGAGATGTTCAGAGGCAGATCCTCAGAGTCGACCACACCCTTCACAAAGCTCAGGTACTCGGGAATGAGCTCCTCGCAGTTGTCCATGATAAACACCCTCCTGACATAGAGCTTGATGTTGTTGAGCTTCCTCTTCCCGTCGAACAAATCGAAAGGAGCTCGCTTCGGGACAAACAACACCGACTTGAACTCCAGCTGACCCTCGACCGAAAAGTGCTTCACTGCCAAATGCTCCTCCCAGTCGTTCGTCAAGCTCTTGTAGAAAGCGGCGTACTCTTCCTTGGCGATCTCCTCGGGATTGCGCATCCAAATTGGCTTCTGCTTGTTCACCAACTTCCACTCGTGCGAGACCTCCTTGACCTTCTTCTTCTTCTTGGTCTTCTCCTTGCTCTCGTCCACGTCCTCTACCTTTCCCTCCTCGTCGTCCTTCGCGTCCTCGTCTTCATCATCCGACACTTCCTTCTCCGTCGTCTTCTCGGTCCACAGAGAGATGGGATAGCTGATGAACTCCGAGTGCTTTTTTATCAGATCCTTCAGTCGACGCTCCTCCAGATACTCGGTCTGATCCTCCTTCAGGTACAGAGTCATCTTCGTTCCTCGCTTCAGATCATCTGCACCCGTGGCATCAACGCGTCTAACGGTGAACGACCCTCCCGCTTGCGATTCCCACACGTAGTGCTCGTCATCATTGTGTTTCGTTTCCACAACGACACGCTCAGCAACCAAGTATGCGGAGTAGAAACCAACACCGAACTGCCCAATCATGCTGATGTCCGCACCCGCAGTCAGCGCCTCCATGAACTCCTTCGTGCCCGACCGCGCAATGGTGCCGAGGTTGTTGACAAGATCGGCCTTCGTCATACCAATTCCACTGTCGATGATCGACAGAGTCTTGCTCGCTTTGTCTGGAATGATATGGATGAACAGCTCAGGCTGTGCCTCCATCTTGCTCTTGTCAGTCAAACCCTCAAAACGGATCTTGTCCAAGGCATCGGAAGCATTGCTGATGAGCTCGCGCAGGAAAATCTCCTTGTTGCTGTAGAAGGTGTTAATGATAAGACTCAGCAGTTGATTGATCTCCGCCTGGAAGGCGAAGGTCTCCGTATCAGCTTCCATTTCCACGGCAGCAGGGGCAGCAGGCGAAGGGGCAACAACAGGATTGACATCGGCGGCAGGATGAACCTCAGCGTCAGCCATTGCTACGACCTGGAGACCTTGCGCGGTAGAAGGAAAGCTGGCTCGACAGGCGGGGAGCGGAGCAGACTGGAGCAGAGAGAAAGTCGGGAAGTGCGCGCTCCAGAAAAGGGCAGTGCAAGTGCGCTCAGCAAACAAAGTCGCCAAACCGTGAGGTGTGAGGTGCAGAGCACCGTGGAGATCGATACCCTAATCGGATTGGCAGGCCGAGCAATTCGTGCACTCGCTGGCTGATTACTACGACACTGATACTGGAGGGTACTTTACCTACTTTAAAGCCGTGGCAAATGTATTCGGTTCCCGCCGCCGAGGCTGGGCAACAGCGCGGGCGGCGGGCTTTCGAGTGAATGCGTGCGGCTGCTTCAACGCCGACCGCTCCCAGCCGGCCCCAAAGGGCCTCGCTTCCACAAGGCACCACTGCAACTTTCGCGAATCGTCTGTTTCACCGAACCCTACCTGCCATTGGTTCGATGATTCGCGAACCCCGCCTTCGCTGTCCTTTTCCTTGTTTTTTTTGCCCCTCTTTTTCTTCCTTTCCCTTTCTTCGGGCCTCGCCACACCACTCTTGAAATGTGAAAAAGACAAAAATGTGGAGGGTGCATCTGGTCGTGTTCTAGCTGAAAGTTCATTCTCATTTTGCACATTTCGAGAGTGGTGTGGCGATGCCCTTCCCCTTTCTTTTCTCTTTCTAAGAAAAGGGCGACGGCCTTGAGATATCATCATCATCGAACTGACCGCCCCACTTGCAGGGGTTTAGTCTACCTCTCGTCGAGTAATTTTCGACGTGGCCACAGTCCGGCCGTAAGATTTTTAAATCGGATGGCAGGAACTCGTGCGCACACGAAACCCAGTCTAAAACCCTGATAGTGATCTGCGTCGAGTTCGAACCAAGGCCAGTTCGTTCCGCTGTCCTTGTTAAGATATCATATCATGGTGAAAGTGGCCGGGGGCCAAGTCCCGTTTACCAAAATTGTAGATTTCTGACCGTCGATTCTGTAGATCGACGGCCCTAAACAAAAGAATTCGCCCAAGTGGGACTTAGGCCCGGCCCAGTTAATTGCGGGATTTTGTTAATCTGGTCCCACCTGGATTCGAACTCGGAGGTGCATTTCAGCAGTTTATGGGTGTGCCAACTGAGCTAAGCCCGTTGGCTGTCCCTTTCACGTTTCTGCCCCTCCCGTCATCCTCGAGCCCCCGTTTCAACGAGACGCTCGGACCATAACGACCTTGTGACCAGCGACCAGGGGCCACAGGTCCCACTTACTTACACTGATTCTTCATATCTGCCCGTTGATCTTATTAATCTATGGTCAGAAATCGAGGATTCGGGAAAGTGGCACTTGGCCCCCGCCAAACACAAAGAGGGCCTCGCTCCCCTACTCACCACATCCACAAAAAAAAGCAAAGCTGGCGGAGTATCTTTCTATGTTCTTGCGGGAGATTCGTTCATTCTCGTTTTCAGATGTGGTGACTCGTAGTGGAGCGAGGCCCATAGGTCGCGCTCAAGGACCAGGGGGTCATTCAACTTCCTCACTGACCTGCGCTCAGAATTTGGATTCTACTGGACCAGCACCCGTTCTGTCCGTACATTCCAAAAATCTACGGTTGCTAGACCAATGTAAGCCAAGAACGAGCGGGAAGACTGCTCAGGCAGAGGTGAATCAACTCGCCCTCCAGAAGCTTCTTCGCCGCTGGCGGTTCTAGCTGACGATGCCCCCCTCGTGTTTGGTTTTTATGGTTTTTATTTTTGATTTTGATTGTTTTTCAAATTTGTCCTTCTTCTCTTTTTCTTTCGTGCCGCCCGTCGTTTCCTAGGTCTGGAAGCTTCAAAAAGGCCATGCGAAGCTGTCCCGCCGACGGGTTCCTACAAGTTCGAGCAGAGAACTTTCGAGTGGCGCCCTACGGTCCAGGGGGCCTGTGGGCTGCCGACCCCCACCGAGCGCCCGTGATGAATTTTCCAGGGACTACCCAAGGCAACCAGAATCTGGGCGTTACACCTGAACGAAGGGTGAGGGACAGCAATAGCCCGCTCCTGTTTCGAAGAACGAAACTAGCCGCCTTCCAATGGCCCTTACACCAAACCGCTGAAACCGGACCTCCGCAACGTCATGTTTGATCTGCTCCCGTCAGCCGGACTACGATATAAGAAGTGTTTGCATATTGAGAGGACAGACTAATTAAGATTGGCATTGTTTGTGCGGAGCCTTCCTGGTGCAGACTGTGTCGCCGCCACTTTCACGAGGAATCCGACGACAGATGTCCTAAGAAGAACTAGCTACAATTTCTCAGGACTGTCGGAGAATTGATGGGATTATCGTACCGGGGATAAACTAGTTGCCATATATTTGTGTTTGGATCTGCTGTTTTCTAAGTGCAGACTTGTTTGGTTTTCTAGGGATAGCATATAGGTGCTGCAGTTCTACTGTTGCATTTAAAAGCTATACTACTTCATGGGTAGCAGCACTATGGAGACAGTGTGAGTGTCACCGTTGGTGGTGAGAGTGCTACTCCTTGCAGAAGTTGCAGTTGGTATCACCAGTATAGGAAGCAAACTTGAACTGTACCCTACGTGATCTTGGCTCAAACTGACAGTAGATCCTTTTGAAGATCCAAGGGTGCGTGGTGGAAACCCGTCAAGGTGGTTTAGGCTTCCTCTGGTCTGCAGACGTGTTAGGGTTAACATTCATCAGAATGGGCAAGGGTCGATCTTCTTTGAGCTTAGCCCAGGGTTAAGGATTCCTTGGCTGAAGGATTTGCATGGTTATATGTTTTTTAGTTCGGCCACTTTTTATTGAGCTTCAAGTTAGTTTTTGAGAAGTTTACTTCTGATGAGAATAGTGGGTTCCTGGGACGCTGGACCCGGTTTCCAGCAAGGTTCTTGGAGACTCCGGGTTGAATTGTGAGGTCCCCAGCCTCAGCCATCCTTTTGCTTGGAATATAAAGTGACAACTTCTCAAAAAAAAAAAAAAAAAAAGAAGAAGAAGAACAAGCAGGCACTAAAGAAGGATAAAGGGAAAGATAGCAAGAAAGACAGGGATCACCCCCCCTCCCCTCCTCCGAAGGAGCCAAAGGACAGTTCGAAAGATGGGAAGGGTCTGGATGCTCCAGGTCCCTCGTTTAAAGAGGTCCTATTGCGGAACAAGGATTTTGTGCCAAACGAGAAAAATCGTAGATGGGGGGATAAGGAACGAGAAAAGGACGGCTCAGTTGGTAACCTTGACCCCAAAGATGTAAACCCCTTCAAAACAAAATCTGTCTATGTCCCCAAAAAGGGAGATGGGGCAGGCTCCTTAAAAGAAGTGTCCCAAATGAAGGGGCCGGGACCATCTTCCCGGTTTGTTTTTGGAGAAAAAACAAATCCAAAAACAAGAAGAAGAAGCTGGCCAATAAAGTCCCTCCCCCAGGATCCACAGGCACTGATGATGGTCGCAGCAAGGGCAAAATCCCGGGAACCGGGATACGACCCCGAAGACCGTACCAACCTAAGACTAGGTTCTCTCTTTCATAATGAAGGAACCACGTGGTCCACTAATTCCAGGGATGAAAACAAGTCAGAGATACAAGAAAAGACCTTTGACTTCTCAGTCCCTGGTCTCTTATCTGAGGGACAACTCTCCTTCTCAAACAGGAATGAGGACGATATCCCCCTCAAGAAAGTTAGGTTAAACGATGACTCAGCCATATAGACGGAAGTTGAACTGGCCTTGGGAGAACCATTCGAAACGGCAAACACAACTCTACCCTCCAAGAAAAGAGGTAAAGCAAGAAGAGTAGTTAAACAATCTATACTCCTTGTTGAACCCATGACAAGGGGAGGCCGCCACCAAAGGAGTATCTAGTTCCTTCGATTCTTTCTGATTCACCACTGGGCTTACTAGTCACGAAGAAAGAAAATGATGAAGCTTTAAGTCTCCCTGTCTTGGAGATTCCAAACTTGATCCAACATGGCAGACAATCTTCTTTTTTTGCAGTATTGCTTCCATGATATTAGGAGCATTAGCCGCAATGGCTCAAAACAAAGCCAAAAAACTTTTAGCTTATAGTTCTATTGGCCAACCTGCCAAAGAACAGATGTAGGACATTGTTAACGAATATGTATCAAATCATACAAGGTGCTGTAAGATTTTGCTCGATCTCAAACCAGGCCGCCATATGACTGTTTTACAGGGAGGGGAGAAAATTTTCCTTCATGTAGCCTTTATGGGCATAAGAACAGTTTCGGATTCCTTTGGCAAGTCGTGTGCTAAAAGAGTATGCTGGCATCCGCTGACCAACTTGTTGGCTCCAAACAACGATAGCGCTTCGTCCATCTCTCTAACATCGAATAATACAGCGAAAAAAATAATCGATTGGCTGGTCAAAACGAATGTCGTGTCTACGGTATCAGAGCCAAAGTTCAGAGCAATGCTCATCACATCAGCCCTGTCGGTAGAATATCATGAAAAAGACGCCCATATCCAACGGTTGAACGGGGCAGACCAAAGTAATGGTTTTGCCTCCTAAGATCCGCATAGCTAGTTGGAACGTAAAAGGACTTGGCGACACAGCTGAAAAACGAAAGCAATCTAGGATACTTCCTGGATGCAAAAGGAGGATATCCAGATAATGTGCTTTCAATAGACTGTCACAAAATTAAATTCAGAAGAAATTGATGAAATAAAACCCTAGTGGCTAGGCCCCCAGTTTTGGGCTCCGGCGAGGGGATCCAAAGGCGGGACAATTATTTTGATTAGCAACGACTTTGATTCTGATATCTTGGACTCCTACATGGACCTATCGGGACGACTAGTGTGGGTTAAGCTTGCCGTTGAGGATGAAGATTGGACGATTGTCTCAATCTATGCCCCGACAGACTACGTAGACAAAACAACCTTCTTCGCCAATCTACCGGCCTGTATCCCCGACATAGAAAATCTAGCTATTTTGGGGGATTGGAATACAATCCTATGTCCAGGATTAGACTCACCAAAGCTCTCCCCTTTGAGAGAGGATGCAAGCATGCTGATGACCTTTTTCGAATCTCAAGATTTGGTCGACGCTTTTAAAGCGTTGAACCCAGACCTCAATGGACATACATGGTTTGGGGCATACCCTGATGAAATCCCCCCCCCCCCCCCCCCCCCCCCCCACCCCCCAGTAGGCGATTGGATTCTATCATGGCTCGTTGAGGGTTATGGGCGAGGTGTGTGGCCTCGGAGCTCCGCATCCCTTCAATGTCCGATCACTACCCTATCCTATTTGA